AGCTAAAAAAATATCTGATCATATATTTTATTTACAGCAACAAGATAAAGCATACAGTAATCTTATGTAGATATAAATGTTTATAAAAGTATGCATATACCTCCAGATATCTTATGAACCCAAATAGTCAAGGCAATAATGAATGCAATTATCAATGTTTCATTGAGAATCCTATTTTGTTTGCCTGGACGTCAGAAGTTCAAAAGGGTAGACTGACAGTATCAGCCTTAGATATCCCCATACCTGTTTCAAAAAGCTGAAGTCTCATTTGCAAAATGCTTCATACTTCAAAGGATTTTTTCAGCAAGACAGAATTGATGAATTCTTAGTCATAATAGGACATCAGAAGGGATAATGAGTAAAACCATCAAAACCAAGGTATCTTGCCAGTTTTACTTTTGTCAAGCATGCTACATGTTCATGCTACAATGAACTAAAACTTCAAAGAAATAAACCAGTATATTTCTTTCTTCTGTATTCAGTAATTAAACACAGAATTGTGATTTTATGAATATCACAGCATCTAGTAGTCAGCATAGAGGGGAAGGCTCAGCCACAGGCAAAGAATCATTATTTTTTTTCCAATTGTTTGCAAAAGCAACACACTCTATACACACAAGTGTTAAGATCTACCACTACCTTGGCATCATATTATTTCCATTTTATATTATAAAATGTTGCCTTATAGTACATTTTATATTATACAATGGATATAGAATGATGCCTATGTTATATTTTATTTAGGTGCAACATTATATATATAGCATTATTTTATGAATCATTAGGTTAATTTCTTGTTTTCTTCCTTAAGTCCTCAAGTTATCTCATACTACAGTAATTACTTGCTTAATCAGAATAATATCAAAACAATGCATGCTGTACACAGCCAATGGACAACTCTCCTCTGAATGTTTTTGAACCTGTTTTAAAGGTGGTATAATCAACTGGATTTCTGCATTGCAGCTTAGTCCCATGATCTGTATTGCCAGGAGCCACTGTTCATATTAGTCACAGCCTGCATAGAAGGTCACAATCACTACAATATTGTGGTAGTTGCTTTAATCACTTTGTGAAGCACACTGGGATACATTTTGTAAAGAACTGTAAAACTTTTACATTTTAAAAATCATTTAGTCCTCATTTAAAGTCAATCATATGGACATATGTAGTTTTCTATTGAATAAAATCTAGTGCATAATTGTCTATGGAAACTAGCAGATATTTGGTAGAATTACAGGAAAATGATATCTTCTATCAGTTACTACCTGATTTTTATATCCACATTGGAAATTTTTATTAAAGAATTGAATGTACATCACTAAATCAATAAATATGTGGAGATACCAGGAAATGGAACAGAGAAATTC